AAAGAAGCAATTTTGTATTGTAACATGTGATAGTCTAAGGTCAGGTACCCTTGTACATACTTGACATCAGGTAGCCACTTATTTTACTATTAGATTGACTTAAGATTGAATATCAACCATTGGTTTCATGTAGAAACCATGTACAATGTAAAAAAGAAAAATTTATGCTTTGTACATGAGTTTGTACTATTGTACAAGCTAAAAACCTATTTTACCCTTACTATTATTTAAAATATAAATAAATTATAAAATGATATTTATATTTATATGAAACCCATACATTTATGTTATTTATATAGCAGTCCTCCACATATAAAAAACATATCATCACCCCTTAAGATTTGTAGTATTACATATCATTTTATTTTGTAGTAGTATTACATATCACTAGCGCGGTATCCGTGCGATGCACGAGCTAGTTTTAATATGGTATGCATTTAGATTAGATGAATGAAAAAACGTAAAACGCATATATTAGAATAAACAAAATGTAACTTATATATTAATAAACGCATTCTTGTATACAACATTATTTGTTTGCCCTTTTGTTAAATCGTCTACCGCCACAAATTAAAATTTTCAAACACTTAAAATTCGTAGCGCGTGAAACATGCATAAAGTTGGCCGTGAAGGTTACATATTTTAGGATTCTAGACATGCTTAAATAAATCAATTAAATTATTTAGCAGGATATATCTTATATGATTTATACTTGTTTTATGAAGATTGTATAGCAAAATATAACGAATATCGTAAAACATCTTTCTTGATAATCTATAGTTAATTCAAATTTTATATTGCAAAAAAAATATATATATATAAATAATAGTAGTTTAATAGGAAGTTCATTTATATGAGAATATGTGATTTTATTTTTTTCTAATTGAAAATTTTCATTCAGCCAATTTTTAGGTCAGCCAGATTTTTCGAATAAAAAATAAAAAAGGGATTTGATTTTTAGAAAATCGTAAACACTACCTAAATCTACTAAAATTAAATCTACAATACCCATCATTTTAGGGTGCATTTCAGGTTAATCGATTTTTGGGGTTAATAAATTAAAAAAAATAAAAAACTACCGACATGCAATAAATGTGGGCAGATTTTATGGCAACTCAATGATGAGGGATTTAAAAATTAAAATTTTATATTCGAAATGAGACCTATTTATTTTCAATTAGATTTTTTGAATAGAAAATGAGAACGGATTTTGATTTCTATTTAGGTGAGAATTGATTTTGATATGTGAAATTTTCAAAAAATACATCAACAAAACCCATTAGTTTAGGGTGCATTTATGGATGACCGATTTTTTGGTTTAAGATTAAAAGAAAATTAAAAAACTGCTGAAATCGGAATGCGTTAAATGTTGGTTGAATTTTATGTTAATATTTTTTTGTAAATAGGTGGTCTTGAACACTTAAAATTTTCCTAAACTATTTTGAAAAGAAAAAAAAAACATGTCCAACAATATTTAAATTTAATATATATATATATATGTGTGTGTGTGTGTGTGCGTGTGTGTGCGTGTGTGTGCGCGCATGTGTATGTGTGGGTATACGTTTATATAGTTATAATATGCCATGATAAAATATTATATAAAAGTATCTAAAATTTTATAAGTCTAAATAAAGACATTGTAAATTTTTTGAGAGAAAATTTACCTAGTATATATAAAATAAATATTGACATGATCCCAAATTACGACGGTGAAAATTTGAGTACATAATATTTCAAAATTATTATTTTTTTATAAGTTTGTTACCGTTAAAAAGAAATTTTGTACACATAATAATTCTACGCTTTATGCAGATTTATTAAGTTTACAAATACAGCTCAGAGATTAATGTAAAGTGTAACAAATATATATAACTAATAATCAGATAAAAATTGAAGACAATATTTAATTCTACATTTCTTCTTATAACTTTTTATTGTATGTCGTTTGGGAGAGAAATATGTGATAAATATACTGAAGACCTCTAAAATATTATATCACATATATAAATGTATATACAATATTCTATATTATTCTTGAAAAATGTTTGAAGCCACTTTCTAAACCACGGAAAACATGTCAAAAAATACCTAAGTTTAACCTCATACATGTGTGTGTGTATATATATATATATATA